TATATATATATATATGTTAACTTCTTGCCCCAGATTTGCACCATACCTTCAGCATAGATAGATACAGACGACATGTAGGGAAGGTGTAGCTGTGGGATAATGCTGGGCTTCTTTATGTCTCATAGCAAAACCCATCTGGCAATGGCTTTGGCATTGGTAGTAGGATCGCTTATGATTTTCCTGATCCTGGGCTGCACTTTTCTCTACTGGCGTGGGCGCCAGATCCAGAATAAAAGGGCCATGAGGCGCTACTTGGAACGGGGTGAGGTGAGTACTTAGCTCAATCTTGAAAGGTACCCTATGCCATCACTCTTTAAGAGCCTCCTCCTTCCCTGGAGATTTGATCGCTATCTTCAAGGAGACAGCATGGCCTAATAGAAGGAACACTGGCCAGAGAGATGGGAGACATGCATTCTAGTCCTGACTTTGCTATTAATTTGTCACATGACTTTGAGAAAGTTACTTTCCTTCTGTATGCCTCAGTTTATGCATCTGTACAGGGGAAATGATAACATTCACCCTCACAGGATGGCAGTAAGAGTGAAAGAGGATGAGTACGTGGAAGTGCTTTGAAAAGCATAGAGCACTGTTTAAAATACCCAAGGTGATACTATTACCAACTCCTCCTGATCAAAGGGAAGCCTAACCCTCTTGATTCCTGATCTAATGGCACAAACGATTTCCTCAATTCTCAGGATCTCTTATTCCTCGATATGCCTATGATGCTATCTAGGACTGAAGACTCTTCCTGCCCCCAACTTTTGGGCTCTGCTGCTCTCAGCACCACTGATGGGGAGGGAGTAGAGTGGAACGGGGGAGTGGGCTTTCCTGACGACCTCCTCCACATTTGCTTCTCAGAGTATAGAGCCTCTGGATCCCAGAGAGAAGGCTAACAAGGTCTTGGCCAGAATCTTCAAAGAGACAGAGCTGAGGAAGCTTAAAGTGCTTGGGTCAGGCGTCTTTGGAACTGTGCACAAAGTGAGTGGTGGCCCACAGGAAGTCTTGGGACGTGGGGAAAGGATCTAAGGCAAAGGGGAAAAAGATTTAGGGACAGGACTGGCCTGGGGAGGATGACCTTAGGCTGACTCCTGCCCCAAACTTTGCAGGGTGTGTGGATCCCTGAAGGTGAATCCATCAAGATTCCAGTCTGCATTAAAGTCATTGAGGACAAGAGTGGACGGCAGAATTTTCAAGCTGTGACAGACGTAAGTGAAGGAGGGAGGTTTGTGTCTAGGCATGATTAGATACATTTGTGGAGAAGCATGATCCTGTGTTAGCAGATACTATGTTAGCCATGTTGGTGTACTTGAGAATGTTGGTCTACGCAAATACAGGTTGGGGTGGAATGTGCACATATTTGAACGTATGTGAACCTGTTTGTTCTCTGGATAATCCCTCTTGTGTCTCTTAGCATATGCTGGCCATTGGCAGCCTAGACCATGCCCACATTGTACGGCTGCTGGGACTGTGCCCAGGGTCATCTCTACAGCTCGTCACGCAATACTTGCCTCTGGGTTCCCTACTGGATTATGTGAGACAACACCGGGGGGCCCTAGGACCACAACTGCTGCTCAACTGGGGAGTACAAATTGCCAAGGTGAGAGGAGCCTGGAGAAATTCTGTGAGGGAACTGCCTGGCTAGGGACAGGCAGGGAGGAGGGTGGACAGGTTGAAGTTCTGAGAGTTGCCTTCAGGGTTTGGGGTGATTCTGGATCTCAAGGACCAACTCCCCCAACTTGAGTACACTTCCTTCCCCTATAGGGTCGCTATGAGTCGGAATTGACTCGACAGCAACGGGTTTGGTCTTTTGGTTTCTTTATAGGGTATGTACTACCTTGAGGAGCATGGTATGGTGCATAGGAACCTGGCCGCTCGAAACGTGCTACTCAAGTCACCCAGTCAGGTTCAGGTGGCAGATTTTGGGGTGGCTGACCTGCTGCCCCCTGATGATAAGCAGCTACTACACAGTGAGGCCAAGGTGAGGTGACACAAGGGGCTGGGTAAGGGGGGGGGGGCGAAGCATGGAGCTAGGGAGCAGAGGCAAGCAGATGCTGCATAGTAAGTTCAAGGAGAGGAAACTGGAGATACCAGAAATTTAAGTTCAGAGAGCAACAACCACAAAAAAAGATGGAGAACTTCTTGGGATGTGGAAATGATCAAAAAATCTGTGGAAATCAACTGGTGACACCTTTATCTTTAATCCCTTAGACTCCAATTAAGTGGATGGCCCTCGAGAGCATCCACTTTGGGAAATACACACACCAGAGTGACGTCTGGAGCTATGGTCAGTGCATCTGGATGCCCTCCATACCATTACTGGCTCAAATTCCATAGTTGCCTTTTAAGACCTCCTCCTAGAATCTCTAAGCCCTTCAGATCCTTGTATCAGATCAGGTTCTGCTTTTCCTTCACCTTCATGCCCATGTCTGCCATTCTGCCATTGACCCTGTACCAGGTGTGACAGTTTGGGAGCTGATGACCTTCGGGGCAGAGCCCTATGCAGGGTTGCGACTGGCTGAAGTACCAGATCTGCTGGAGAAGGGGGAGCGGTTGGCACAGCCCCAGATCTGCACCATTGATGTCTACATGGTCATGGTCAAGTGTGAGTTACCTGCTGACCCAGACATTTTCTTCACTGGACTTCTCTCCCCACTCCACTCTCCCCTTATGGCTCTGCCTCCTACACCTTACCCCCAGGTTGGATGATTGACGAGAACATTCGCCCCACCTTTAAAGAACTAGCCAATGAGTTCACCAGGATGGCTCGTGACCCACCCCGGTATCTGGTCATAAAGGTGAGTAGGGACTAGGAGGTGTCAAGGAAATTTACAGAAAAGGGGGCTTGGCTGGACCAGGATCCACCTTAACAATTTCTGTCCCAATAGAGCGAGAGCGGGCCTGGAATCCCCCCTGGGGCAGAGCCCCCTGCTCTGACAAATAAGGAACTAGAAGAAGTAGAGCTGGAGCCAGAGCTAGACCTGGACCTGGACTTGGAGGCAGAGGAGGACAACCTGGCAACCACACTGGGCTCTGCCCTCAGCCTGCCAGTTGGAACACTTACTCGGCCACGTGGAGTAAGACTCCTTCTAATTACCCAAGACTCTATAACATGCCCATCTGTACATCTAAGCCCTCATAAGCCTTACAGATAACCATAGCAACTACTCAAAGGCCCCCATGACAAGCGTAGGTTTCTCTCTTAATCTTAACCTGTCTCTTTTTACTAGAGCCAGAGTCTTCTAAGTCCATCATCTGGATACATGCCCATGAACCAGGGTAATCTTGGGGAGGCTTGCCAGGTAAGGCCTGCCTCTTTAAGAAGCGGTTGAAAAGCTGGGTGGCAGGGGGTCCTAGGATTGATAGGGTCATTGTGGTAGACATTAACTTTTGAGGTTGAATCAGTGTCCTGCAAAAGAAGAAGACACTGAACAACCCAATCTCCTTCTAAACAAATGTTTCGCTTTTCCTCGTCTCTGGGTAAGACCCTGTGTAGTATTTTCTATTTTCCTTCTTAGGAATCTGCAGTTGGTGGGGGTAGTGAACGGTGCCCTCGTCCAGCCTCCTTGCACCCAGTGCCACGGCGACACCTGACATCAGAGTCATCAGAGGGCCACGTGACAGGCTCTGAGGCCGAGCTCCAGGAGAATGCATCAGTGTGTAGGAGCCGGAGCCGGAGCCGGAGCCCGCGGCCATGTGGGGACAGCGCCTACCATTCCCAGCGCCACAGCCTGCTTACTCCTGTCACCCCACTCTCCCCACCAGGGCTAGAGGAAGAGGATGTCAATGGTTATGTCATGCCAGATACCCACCTTAAAGGTGCCTGACTTTTCCTAGGGCTTTCCTCAAATCTTCCTCTGATCCTTTTTCTCCAGGCTCCTCTTAATCCTTTTGTCTTCTCTGATCACATCCCTTCCTATTCATTTTTTTCTAACTTTCCCCAACTCCCTACTGCCTCTTATCCTGAAGTTCTCCACATACCTACACTCTCTTCTCAACCCCCAGGTACTCCCTCCTCCCGGGAAGGTACTCTTTCTTCAGTGGGTCTCAGTTCTGTCCTGGGTACGGAAGAAGAAGATGAAGATGAGGAGTATGAATACATGAACGGGAGGAGAAGGTGCAGTCCACCTCGTCCTCCTAGGCCAAGTTCCCTCGAGGAGCTGGGTTATGAATACATGGATGTGGGATCAGACCTCAGTGCGTCCCTGGGCAGCACACAGAGTTGCCCACTCCACCCTGTGCCCATCATGCCCACTGCTGGCACAACTCCAGATGAAGACTATGAGTACATGAACCGACGACACGGTGGAGGAGATCCTGGGGGGGATTATGCATCCATGGGGGCCTGCTCGGCAGCTGAGCAAGGGTATGAAGAGATGAGAGCTTTGCGGGGGCCTGGACACCATGCCCCCACTGTCCATTATGCCCGTCTCAAAACTCTACGGAGCTTAGAAGCCACTGACTCTGCCTTTGATAACCCTGATTACTGGCATAGCAGGCTTTTCCCCAAGACCAATGCCCAGAGAACATAACCTCTGCTTCCCAAGGTACTCAGGGAGCATTTGATGGCAGCTAGTGCCTCTGGAGGGTACACTCCTTCTTCCTACTCCCTCTGCCTCACAGGTCTCAACCTCATTTCTCCAGTGCTAGACAATTCCATTCAACATATGGAGGCTTTTAAACACTTTGACACAAAATAGTTGTGGTCCGTAGCCAGCTGTGCACTTTCTTCTCTTTCCCAACCCCAGGAAAGGAGGTGTTCCCTGTTTTATGTGCTTTCCCAAACTCATTCCCCAGCTTCCTCAGGGGGGCTTCCTCAAGATATGAAGGATTACTCCCCATGTCCCTTTTTCTTTCAGGCCCTGACTTGTTGGGAATAGGCCCTTCAGTATGCCTTTGTTTCCCAGACTGTCCTAAGGAAGAGGAAAGGGAGGAACCAGGCAGGGAAAAGTAAAATTTTTGGCCTATGACTCTTAACCCCCTGAAAAGTCTGACAAGCTTAAAATTTTGTGGAGCAAAGAGAGGTTAAGAGTAGATATTAATGATGACTATTAATCGAGCATTTACTATGTGTCAGGTATCATCATGCTAAACTTTACCTACATCATCTCACTTCTGTAAGGTAGGTATCATCCTCATTTTACAAATGAGGAAACTGAGCTTTAAAGAGAATAAGTAAATATCTTAAATGGCAGATCGGATTCAAAAGCTTCCTGATTTCAATGCATGTGCTCTTACATGCATTACAGGCATTACAATGCATTGCGTGCTCTTACAGGTGTTAAGGAAAACTGAGAAAAGTCAGTCAGAACCCTTGTAAGGGGCATTGTTTTCTTGTTTTTGCACTGAATCAAGTCTGACCGCAACCACCACAGCCTCCTCCCACACCCCGACTCCTCATCTCAGGAAGTAGAGGAGGAGGCCAGAAGGAAAAATAAGGACATTTTTGTGTAAGCCCGTAACCCACAAGTGCTGTATATGATCGCCACTCCTTACCCAAAGACGGATTCACAAGGGTCCTCAAGATCCATTTTTAGGAGCTATCCTTATCCAGTAGTGAGAAGCCTCCAGCTGGCATCGAAAAGGGACCCAGCTCTAGACTTCTCTCCCCTTGGATGGGAAACTGGGGGGAAATGTCTGTTTTATCACCGAAGTTTTTTGTTTGTTTTTATACATGTCAATAAAAATGCCGAAGTTTTTTCAGCTTCCTGTCTGTCAGATGAAGAAGGTCTTTAGTGTGTGAGATAAGAGACCACCCTTTTTCTCTGTCCCCCAGCAGTGGATAGCAACCAGGGACATGCTGCCTCCTCTGCCTTCTGACAACCCTACTCGGTCCCATGCAGCTTTTCTCCAGCGACACTTTTCCTTGTTTTTCTGAGGCAAGCATAGTGCACAGTCCTTTTCAGTTAAGATTTCTACTTGGACTCTACAGGGTAACTCTCAGCGGGGAATTAAAAAAAAAAAAAAAAAAAAACACGCTTGGGGAATCTGGAAAAAGCCTTACAGGTGGAATCTGATGCGCTCCTTCCGTCCGGAGCGGAATACCGACACTCCCAGCTGGCTTCAGAACTCTCTCTTAAAAGAGGTGGCCACCGTAAATTTCTATCTGAACACTTCCCTTAGATGCCATCAAAGCCATCAACTATTGTTGGAACAATAGTGCCATCTCACTCCAGTGAGAGTTCAGCCTCCACATTCGGAGACTGTAAATGGATAATCCCTTCGGGGTCAGATCGCCCTGTTAGTCCCGGCTCCCTTGGTCTCCTTCCACACCGCTTGACCCTCCCTAGTCTATCAGCAACTGGGGACTGCGCTGGACCTGCTGGGCCGGTCCCACCACCAGCCCCAGGGGTCCAGAGACCGGCGCGTCTCCCCACCCTTGGCGTAGACACAGCCTACTCGCCTCGGCTCCAACACCTGCCCCTCCGCTTACAAACCTACTTCCCCGCCGTGGCTCCGCCCCTTCTCACTCAGCCCGCCCCCTCTACTACGGGTTGTCGCTCTGCGCTCCTGGTAGATGTGGTTTTTCCGGGTAAGACCACGCTCCCCCTCATGTTCCCCTACGGCTCCGCCTTCCCGCCGGTGCCTGATCCTTCCCAGCGTGCCCGCCGATTCCGGCGTGCGAGGCCCTCGGAGGGCAAGGCCCCAGGGCCTGGTTTAGGAGCTCAAGAGGCAGTCTGGGAATTGTAGTTCACGAGTCCACGAGGGCGGCCAGAAGCTGGCCGTGAAAAATACTCGTTGTCCCATCGTGCCCTGCGCCTCAGCCCGCGCGCTCGCAGCCGCTCGTTCTCGGCTGCCCGCCTGCTCCCTTGCTTGCTCGCGCTTTCGTTCGCGCTCTCCTCGCGGATCGAGGAGTCTCTGGCTAGAGGCTGCGGCTGGGAAGGGAGGCAGAGGCGGGGGCTCAGGGGAAACGAGGCTGCGGTGGTGGTGGGAAGATGTCGGGCGAAGACGAGCAGCAAGAGCAAACTATCGCGGAGGACCTGGTCGTGACCAAGTATAAGATGGGGGGCGACATCGCCAACCGTGAGTGCGGCCTCGGGGGTCTGGGGTTCGACGCTGAGAGGGCGAGGCAAGGGGGATGATGCCGGGCTGGCCCCGGAGTGGCTGGAGCGGCCGGGTCGTGCGGAGTGAGCTACTGAGGGGCCCACGCCGGTCCGCTGGGAGCGGCGTGGTGGGAAGACCCTGAGCTGCACCTGGGACCCGAGCGGCCAGGCCTGGGTTAGAGTCTGGACGTGCGGTCTAGCGGCGGGAAAGAGCGCAGAGCCGGACCCTCGGCCGGCTCGGTCCCTAGGCCGTTGGTAATGAGACAAGGCGCGTCTCCTTCTGCTTCGCACCCGTTGGTCCTCCGGGCCTCTAGGAAACGGAGGTGCCGGGGTTAGGCGGGCCTCGCTTCGGATCCTTGCTGCCTCTGATTCTGGCGTTGGCGAGGCCACCTCGGAAAGGAAGCGCCCAGCTGTTTTGTCGCGGCTCCTGGGCGTCAGGACCCGAGCTGGCACGTGTTGCTCGGTCCCCGTGCGGATCGCTGGCTCCGCTTTTGCCTGTGCTACGGTCCCTGACACCAGCTTACCCACCACGTGCTTCGCTGGAGTTTTCCTTCTTCGCTTCACCTGTTTTCCTGGTGGGGGCCCCGGTCTACCCTTGGGCCAGCTCAGAAGACCGTTGGAGGGCATCACTGGAGCTTGTAACAAAACTTTTGGAGATTTATCTGGCTTTCCTTGAAGTTACTCATTACTACTACCCTTCCAGAGCCCTGGTGGCCAGCAGTTAAGAGCTCGGCTGCTAGCCAAAAGGTCGGCAGTTCAAATCCACAGCCGCTCCTTGGAAGCCCTATGGGGCAGTTCTTCCCTGTCCAGTAGGGTCGTTGTGAGTCGGAATTGACTCGATGGCATCGGGTTTGGTTTTTAGTTTTACCAGCCTTCCAATCTGTGCAGATAGCCTTAGTTAGCCTGAAAATTTGATTGTTCTCACGGATTTGACAGCTCTGGGAGTGTTTTTAGGTGTTCCCTTCCAGTCCCAGAAAGGCAAGTTTGTGAACAGTACTGGAAAGGGGGTGGGTGGGGGGTGGGTTAGAGGGACTGATTTCAGAGTTGTCAGAATTCATCCTTGTTATAAGGACTGTGCTTTCTGAGCAGCTGCCTGCCACTCTAGGCACATGTCTCACTTTCTATTTTCTCTCTTTCCATTCCACCTTTCCATTTTAAAACCCAGTTAGGGAGACAAGCTGCTTGTCCTTAGGCTTTTAAGTGGTTTTGACTTTTAAATAGTTGGGGAGGAGTATTTAGGATGCTTTTGGTCCTATAACTGTGATAGCTTTTTTTTTTTTTTCCCAGACTTCCAAGGCGTTAATAAAACTTAGATCTCAAAAATCTAACCTGAGGTTTAGGATGGGCCATAGAGAGGGCATCCGGTGAACAGAACAATGCTTCATAGCACAATGGACATTTAGTATATTACCCGTATTTTTGGTACTTTTTAGTTTTGATAGTAATAGTTTGGATCAGATAAAAAGTGTTCTTGCTAGAAGTTTTTAGCTTCTGAGGCTGTTAGGGTCCAGATTCCAGTTTTGAAACTTTTTGGGTCACGTACCTCTTTGAAATCGGCTGGAAGTTATAAACTATAAGTTATATGTGACGCCTGCTGAAACCCAGGGACCTTAGATTAAGTGCCCTTATATGCTTGTTTGTGAGGAAATAAGTCTGCATAAATTGAGATTGCTAACACCTAATTGGGTTGTCTGAGAAGGGAAGAAGGTAGTATTTAACAGTGAATCAGCTTTGAGCCAGCAACTCTGTGTCTACCTTCCTGTTGTTCCTGACGCCTATAAATTTCTTCTAGTCTACTTTGCATGTATGTTGGATGCCTTGGCCAGAGCCCCCTGAAGTTCATAAACTCGTGTCCTACCACAAAAAGGTATCATCTTTGGGAAGTCCAAGGCCTTGCCTGGTTGTCACATAATGTAAAGGAGGGAAGGCAGTATTGACCTTTTTTAGAAAAGGAAGGTGGAAATCAAAGCTTATAGGTAGACACTTTGCAAGAGGTAAAACTTGTTCCCTCTTACAGTCTCAAAGCAGTGGCACCAGGGTTATTAGGAATCCTCAGTCCAACTTCTAGGTATTACTTGAGTGGTAACTAAATAACACATGCAAGGTTGACATGGTAGGATTCTGTCCCCAGGAGTACTTCGGTCTTTGGTGGAAGCTTCCAGCTCAGGTGTGTCAGTACTCAGCCTGTGTGAAAAAGGTGATGCCATGATTATGGAAGAGACAGGGAAAATCTTCAAGAAAGAAAAGGAAATGAAGAAAGGTAAAAACAAAACAAAAAAGCCCCACTAATTTCCTTTATCCAGTCCTGAATGTCTTGTTTGTTTCATTTGAATGATGCAACCACCACCCCAGCCCTGGTTGAGATATTTGAAAATTTGAAATGGAAGGTGGGGCACAGGCAATTTTCTACCAAGCCCAAACTGACTACAAACTTAAGCAAGACTTTGAAAATCCTTCCATTTGTCTGAGGGACAACAGTGCTCCAAGAGAGAGTGGGGCAATAGGCTAATAGAAATTCTCATTACAGGTATTGCCTTTCCCACCAGCATTTCAGTAAATAACTGTGTATGTCACTTCTCGCCTTTGAAGAGCGACCAGGACTATATTCTCAAGCAAGGTGATTTGGTAAAAATGTAAGCTTAAACCAATATAGACCACTTGTCTTCCTGCTAAGCATTTATGTAGTGCCAGTTCCTAAGCTTGTAAATTCCTAACATTATGCTCTACTCTTGCTTTTCAGTGACCTTGGGGTCCACGTGGATGGCTTCATTGCTAACGTGGCTCACACTTTTGTGGTTGATGTAGCTGAGGTAGGTGGCCTGCCTTCAACTCTTTCTGTTCACCGGTGTGGCAGGCGTGCCCACCCCAACCACATAAGTTTTGAGTCTCTAGAGAAACAAAAGGAGAAAGGTTGCTTTTAGCCTTGCAGAATGAGCACATGAATATTAACTGAATGACCAGCTGAGTTGAAGTGCTCTGGAAGGCTTTAATTAATTGCGTTTCCTCCTCTTATCTACAGGGGACCCCAGTAACAGGACGGAAAGCAGATGTCATTAAGGCAGCTCACCTTTGTGCTGAGGCTGCCCTACGCCTAGTCAAACCTGGAAACCAGGTAACCGGTTTTGTCCATCTCCATAAACTTGATAGAGCTAAAGATGCTTTAGGTGCCCACAGCCATTCTATATTGAACTGCCAACTTCCTCACAGCCCCCATACCATAAAACAAAACAAAAACTGCTTTTTATTAGCTGCATCTTAGGATGAGATTTCTTAAAGAGGCAGGAACTAAAGATCTTCACACTAAACAGCAGTTAACTCTGAGTGCCTACCATAGATGGTACTGTGCTAGGTATATGGGGATATATGATCCCTTACTCATGGAGCCTCTAGAGATCTTTTCTTTGTATATTTTGTATGCCTCTTTCCTCAAAATAATTTTAGTTAGGTAGTTTACAATAAAAGATATGAAACTAATTTAATTTTAAAAGCTTATAACACAGTAGTCAAATCATAAAAAGGACAAGAGAGAGAGAGTGCCAAAAGAGAGGCCAAAAGTTAGCTCTGGACTTTTCAAGATAGTGTTAGGGAGTATTGGGATGATAACGTTCTCATGAATTAATACAGTTAAGCATATCAGATTGTCACTGGAGGGATTTCTCTCTAACATGCAAATTTCCAGAGACCCGTTGTCCTTTCTTTTCTCTCTCCTGTTCTGTGCTCTCGTTTCTCGTTTTTCGCTTTTAATGTGTATCCCCGTTATTTCTCAATTGTATTGTTTTTACTTAACCTTTTTGTGTCTTAGTTTCCTTATAGTGATAATCTACTTCCTAGAGCTGTTATAAAGTACTCTGAACAGCGCCTGGTATATAGTCAGCGTACGTTATTTTGCATTTTTATTATTTTATATAATGTATCTTCATAGGAAGGTGGTGGTGTAGTGGCTCTTATATAACTATAAAATCAGACAGTCTGGGTTCACACCCTGTTACTGCCTCTTCCAAAAAGAAAACCAAACCCATTGCCATTGATTCAATTCCAACTTATAGCGACCCTATAGGACAGAGTAGAACCTGTCCCATAGGGTTTCCAAGGAGTGGCTGGTGGATTCGAACTGCTGACCTTTTGGTTAGCAGCGAGCTCTTAATCACTGCCTTATCAGGGCTTCATTACTGCCCCTTACTGTTTAAATTTGAGCTCAGTTTTCCTCACCTATAAAATGGGAAAAATAAAATTGTGCCTTATTCTCACAGGGTGGTCGTGACAATTAAGATTTTCATGTAAAGTGCTTAGAACAGTATCTGGCACATAACTGCTCAACAAATATTACCTATGTTAGTTAAATTTACTTGTCTCTTCGTCTAAGAACCATAGCTTAGGTGAGGATGAGATCACGTTTGAATGTAGTGAGAAAGGAAAAATAGGAGTTTGCTGTCCCTTCTCAATAGGTTAGACTACCAGGTATAATGAAAATAAACACTGGTTTGAAGTCAGAAAACCTGGGTGTATGACCAGGTTCTTCCACTTAACACTTGTTTAATCCTGGGCAAATCATTTAACCTTTCTGAGCCTCAGTTTCCTCGTCTTCTAGATTGGGATACAGATTTGTCCTGTTCATCTTCCAGAATTGTCTAATTAGACCAGGTTTGTGAAAGTGCTTTGTGAAATTATATACAAATGTAAGGTATTTTTTTAGGTTGTAGGGATAGAGCTATGAAATGAAAAACCAAGGAGCAGCATTACAGTAGACAGTGGATGTTAGAACTCTCAGCTCTTTGTTTCTTATTCTTATGGGAGGGGACTGATACTTCCTCACCTTTCATTTGATCTTGTACTTCTAGAACACACAAGTGACAGAAGCCTGGAACAAAGTTGCCCACTCATTTAATTGCACTCCAATAGAAGGTGAGACCTCAGGTAATAGGGTTGAGGGTCTAAGGATGAGTGGTTTAGCAGAATTGAGGCTTTTGCTCCCTTGAGGATCCATCTTGGCTCTAGCTCAGTCTAGGCCAGAAACCTCAGAGCCCTGTGTTTCCAGAGCTAGGCACCTTTCTCTCATTGCCTGCCCCATCAAACTACGTAGGTGGGTGGATTTAGAAACCTTTTGGGATTCCAGATGGCTGGTACCACAGGCTTTATCCTGTCTGTAGGTATGTTGTCACACCAATTGAAGCAGCATGTCATCGATGGAGAGAAAACCATTATCCAGAATCCCACAGACCAGCAGAAGTAGGTGCCAACCCCACCATCACCTTTCATCATACCAGACTAATGATCAACTTTTTCTTCCATACTCCCAGCCTAACTTTGTCCACCTTCTACTCGACACTCCTAGGAACTACTTATTGCTCTTAATGGTTCCCTTTCCCACTATTCCTTTTAGGAAGGACCATGAAAAAGCTGAATTTGAAGTACATGAAGTATATGCTGTGGATGTTCTTGTCAGCTCAGGAGAGGGCAAGGTGAGGTTTACCAGAGCTAGCTAAGGGGGGTGGCTGAGGGTGTGTTGGAAGAGCACAGGCCCAGATGTGACCTAACTTACTCTTTTAGGCCAAAGATGCAGGACAGAGAACCACCATTTATAAACGAGACCCCTCTAAACAATATGGCCTGAAAATGAAAACTTCACGTGCCTTCTTCAGTGAGGTGGAAAGACGTTTTGATGCCATGCCATTTACTTTAAGGTACTGCGCTTAGCAAGGAGAGGACTTGGAACCAGTCTGACTCACAGACCATGCTCCCAGGAACACTCTTCCCTCTCCCACCCTCTCTCCTTTCCCCTTTTGCCTAGATTTGTGGTGCAGACACAGTCACACTCCCTTTACCTCTGTCTTAGTTCTCTAGTGTTGCTATCACAGAAGTACCACAAGTGGAAGGCTTTAACAAACCAATTTATTGTCTCACACTTTAGGAGGCTAGAAGTCCAAATCCAGGGCGCTGGCTCTAGGGGAAGGCTTTCTCTTTCTGCGGGCTCTGGAGGAAGGTCCTTGTCTCTTTGAGCTTCTGCTCCTGGACAGTCTTCACGTGGCTTGGCATCTCTCTTGTCCCATCTCTGCTTCCCAGTTGGCATTTAATCTCTTTTATATCACAACAGAGATTGACTCAAGATACACCCTATGCTAATCCTGTCTCATTAACAAAACACAGACAACCCATTCCCAAATGGAATTACAACCACAGGCATAGAGGTTAGGATTTTACAGCACATATTTTTTGGGGACACAGTTCAATCTATAACACTCTCCCCCTCCCCCTAATTGAAGCAGAAGAGCGATCCTAAGCATAAGCCTGAGGTCAAGAGGTATTTAAAAAACATGACTAAAATGGTAAGACTTGATGGGGAGTTAAGGATACCTGAATTCCTCTTCCCTTACCCAGAGCATTTGAGGATGAGAAGAAGGCCCGGATGGGTGTGGTGGAGTGCGCCAAACATGAACTACTACAACCATTTAATGTTCTCTATGAGAAGGAGGGTGAGTTCTAAGAAGAGAGTTTGACTTTAGAGCCCCTGGTTATATGGTAACACACCCCACCCACCCACTCCCACCGCCCCATGACTTAGGGAAAAGAACCAAGTATGAGAAAGGAACATTTTTATCAAAACACTTCTTCATTTTTCCCCTAGGTGAATTTGTTGCCCAGTTTAAATTTACAGTTCTGCTCATGCCCAATGGCCCCATGCGGATAACCAGTGGCCCCTTTGAGCCTGACCTCTACAAGTCTGAGATGGAGGTCCAGGATGCAGAGCTGAAGGTTAGTGCGGGATGGAAAGTGAGGAGCACGTGGCACTGATCCTGGGAGCGAGGGCGAAATGTCAGCAAAGCTCTGAAAAGAGCTGCAGTTCTGAGGGTAACACTTTGTGTTAGTGTTTCCTCCACATTCCTCACAGGTTGTTGCCTCTTCCTCCTATTTTTCAGGCCCTCCTCCAGAGTTCTGCAAGCCGGAAAACTCAGAAAAAGAAAAAAAAGAAGGTGCGTTATGATCCTCCCTCCCTGGCATGATGAATTTGATCCCTCTTACTCCACCTTCCTGGATGGTGGTGGGATATATATTTCTGTATATCCTTATTTCCCCTCATCTCAGCCCGGACCTAGATGATTAGATGTTTTTGTCCTTGGTCCTCCAGACACTGTTCTGAGTAGTTGGAAACTGACAGGTCCTCTCTTTCTCCTCCACCAAAACATAGGCCTCCAAGACCGCAGAGAACGCCACCAGTGGAGAAACATTAGAAGAGAATGAAGCTGGGGACTGAGGTGGGTCCCATCTCCCCAGCTGGCCGCTCCTGCCTCATCCCCTTCCCACCACACCCTAGGCTCTGAAGTGCAGTTTGTCTTCTCCATCCAGGACCGCCAGCAGAGCAGGGTCTCCCTGCCCCTATCCCAGTCCCCCAACCCACCCCTTTCCAACAACAACCAGCTCCAACTGACTCTGGTCTTGGGAGGCCAGGCTTCCCAGCCACTGAAGACTACTTTAAATAGAAAAAAGAAATTGAATAATAAAATCAGGAGTCAAAATCCATCGTCTTCAAGCCCCTCTTTCTAGCCTTTTTCTACTACTATGCTTGGTCAAGGTTTGTGGCCCTACAACAGAATAGGGAGGCTAAATTAGCCACACCACTGAAAACTCAGCTGAAATTTTTTATGCTACTCCAGTGTCGGTATTTTCTCATCTGTGTGGGCTTTTTCTGCTCTTTGCTCACTCCCAAAGTCTTTTATCTGGCCTCAAAATAGAGGAGCTGTTCTTCAGTTTGTCTTCCTTCACATATGGCAGATTCCTCTTATTGTCCGGGTTGTCTGGTCAGGCCTCTCTCCCATTTTCAGGAGCTGGAGCCTGCATTTACCAAGGGATTCTCACCTATCAAGTGAATCCGCACTTGTAAAGCTTTTTAGTCATTTTTGTTCTGCAGGACTTTTTTTTTTTTTTTTTTTTTTTCATTTTCATTTTCACAAAGCTGTAAAGAAGTAATCCATCTGAACCATGTCCTTTTCTTTGGAGTCAGTGGGATCTTCCCTTGCTCCATCTTATGCAAACCTGAGCTGGAGGCTCAACTGTGGTTTTGTTTCCTGTTTGAAATATTTTGACCTCTCCCCTTTGAGACAAAGACCAGGAACCAGAGGAGCAGACTGACTGAAGAGACAATGCCTGCCTTTCTGAAGCTGTGGACTTTAATTGGATGAATTGCTGGGGGTTTGGAGAGAAAGGTGATGAATTTCAGTACCTCTAGCATGCTGTCCCAGGAAACTAGGGCTCCCACTAACTTATGAGGTTTTTAAACACATTGAAAATGAGATGGCGTTAAATAAATTTGGATTTGGTCATACTGATGTGCATTTGTACGCTGCTCTTATTTAACGGAGGTGGGGGAGTGTTGGTTGAGTAAGTAATCATCAGTTGGAACTGTTTTTCTACAGTGCCATAACCCTGACTTCCTAAACAAAGAATACTTGGAGTTGGGGAAGACACAAATCCCAGATTCTCTGAATTTCAACATAGAAATTACGTAAAGGAAATGAGAGTTTGCTCCTGATTTAATTTTCTAAAGTAGAAATGTACCACTTGCTGTTGACACTTTGTTCAGGACTAGGACACTTCGTGTTGTGTATTGCAAAGAAGAAGAAAAAAAGCACACACACTATAAAGTGTGTTATCAGTTTAGGAAGCCAGGAAGAATGCCTTTAGGTTTTTAATGTTGAATAATCAGAAGTCAAAATTCATAGTCTTCAAGTCTTTTTATCCTTTTTCTATTACTCTGCTTCAGGGCCAGGCGGATCGAGTGAATATTTGTCGATTAGGTTTAAATATCTTACTACATGTGAGGCACTGCTGATCTGGAGGTATTACAATGAACAAGATTCACACAGGTCCCCTCAGATCTTATAGATTAGTAGGGAATCAACCACAAGTGAAAATGTCATTGTATAAATACTAAAGGGAAACCACAAAAGGAAGGAGGAGGGATTATAACAAGATTTGACAGTATTTTAAACATTGAACAAGATAAAATCTATATGTTGAGTTCTTTTTCATCCCTCATAACTCAAGTTTCCTGTAGCCAAATCTTTGCTGATTCTGACCTAACCATACCAAGAGCCTGGCAAGTTCTTAACACCAAATGTCATTCTTGCCCTAGAGCAACCCGTTGCCTTCTAGTTGATTCCGACTCAGCGACCCCCTAGGACAGAGTAGAACTGTCCCATAGGGTTTCCAAAGAGCAGCTGATGGATTTGAACTGCTGGCCTTTGGGTTAGCAGCCAAGCTCTTAACCACTACGACTTGGCTAATCTTGTTTGTTCCCCTCTGGACATTGGTTTTATCCTCATCCCTAGGTAGGGAATTAAGTTATTTTCTTAATAAATTCCTGGCATTGTACTAGGGATGGCTAATGACGTTATGCCTCAGGCATTGTGGGAAAAGATCTTAGTAGTTGGCTATTTTCTAGAACTTTTAGGAAAAAGTTGATCTTTAATAGTGACAGTCTTCCCTAATCCCCATTTTCCGTCCTTCCATGTTCTAGCATCTAGCACCTTCAGAAATTCCGATAGCGAACCTCCCTGCAGCAATTTAGAAAATAAGGCAAACCGGTAAGAAACGAATTTTGTACAGTCCGCACCAATACAGAGTAAAATGGAGGGTTTCGCCAGGTAACTGCGACTCCCATGAGGCAATGAGAGGGGAGGCGGAAGTCACTATCTTTTTCTCGCCCGTACCCCTCGATGTCATACTTGGAGATATGTAAAAATAATGCAGTGTCCGCGAAATGAAATGGTGGGGAAGGAGGACTTGGTAACTTGAATTCAAAACACATTTTTTACGGGATAACGGCGTCTACGATGCTTCAGCTCAATAACTTAATCACCTGGTGTCGGAGAGACCATTGTTATTCCACTCAGGCAGTCCCGCCCCCGGGAGAGGGTGGGGCGACGGAAGTGATGACACAGGATACGCCATAAAAAAGCTGTAGGCGGGACTCCAGCTCTCTTTTGGCCTTAGCGCCATCTTGTTAGGTAGGTGTCTGTAGTGGTGTGGATTCCGCATGCAATCCAGGAACATCTGGCGGCTGCGCTTAACTATCATCCCAGCAAACTAACTGTAGCCTTTTTCTCTTTCCCAATAGAGTCCTCCGAACCATGAGAGCCAAGGTGAGCGATTCCCGAACAGAGAACTGAGGCGGTCGGGATTGGAGAGTGGGGGAAACTCAGACTAGTGAAGTCAGCCATGGTTCCCGAATCGCTGGGTTCTCAGAGGTGCCCAAGAGCTACTGGAATAGGAAGGATAGTTTTGGGGGGAAGCAGAGGAGTTGGGGAGAGATGCGAAGTTTACATCGGGGGATCCAAATTCATGGCAGTTGGAGCGACCAAGCCCTCATGCTTAAAGAACCTGACTGATAATGCTTTTGATACCCCTACCTAACCTGTTAACTGAAACTACTAATTTCTTGTTTTATTCTCTGCCTCTGTTACGATCCGTTGCAGTGGAGGAAGAAGCGAATGCGCAGGTATGTTGAAACTTTGCCAGTACAGGAAGAGGGAAGGGAGCACGCCTTCGATAAAACTTGGGAAAATTCAGTTTAGAAATCTAAACGAACTAGATGCATTGACTTGCCAGAGCCAGGAATTAAAGACCGTAAAATCGTAGTGCTATTTCGTTTTACCATTCCACGTGTTGTACGTACGTATAATTAAATAGTAGAGAAACACTGACCATGGGTTCGGAGGCAGGAGTTGTATTCACTATCTACTTTTCAGGCTGAAGCGCAAAAGAAGAAAGATGAGGCAGAGGTCCAAGTAAACGCTAGCCTGTGCACCCACGGAAGCCAGAGCAGCAGGAATATGGAATGCCGGAGGCCGGGGACGCTGGTATAAGTTGTTGACTGCGTGTTACTGTCGCTACTGTCTGGAACTTGTCTCAGTGGATATAGAATTTCCATCGCCATTCGATCGCCGCGAACACCTCCGAGAGGCCCACCTTGCTTATACCAATCAGTCCCTTTTGATCTTTTGCCCTGGACCTATGACAGTCTGGACTCGTTCTGTTTTCAGTTGTGGCCGAGTGTAACGTGCACAATAAATCATCTCTTCTGCTGTCTTAGCCGAAGAATCAAATCGTCTTGTCTGTTATGTGATTTTTTTTTTTTAATGTTTCTTTTGGGTGGGGATTATATTTTGTGTGCCCTGTCACTAGTGACCTCCAAACTGTGGAAGATGTGAAGAAACTACATAGGCTACTCGGCTACAGAACCCTGTTCGTGAATTGCGGACGCGGGCCCCGAAGCTGATATTTAGGAGCCCTTACGGCAAAGATAGGGTGTAGCACGCGCCTGTGGATATGTTACGGGGTGATTGGGGGCTAATGCCAATTCCAACTTACCGCCTCTTTCGGGGCAAACGTACGTAGAGGAGTTGAAGGTATTTGGGCGGTTACTGCTGGGCTGTTTTGGTCGGGTTGCCATGGTGACACGCAGTGCTTGCTGGGAACTTCCTGTGGCTTGTCGCGCAAATGCTTAGCACGCCATAGAGTATAGTTCCGGGTCTGGTGGCTAGAGCGTCATTTCTTCCGCAGGAAGCGGAAGGACAGTAGGGGGGGCGGCTCTTTGTCGAAGCCAGAGGACCGGCAGGCGGCAGCAGCAACTACGGCGGCGGCGGCAGGTGAGGGAGGCGGGAGAGTTAGGTGGAGGCCGCGCCCGGAGGGGAGGAGTCGGGCCGGCCCAGCGGCTGGTCTCGGCCTGTCCACCCGAGGCCCCCAACGAACAAGCTGTCTCTTTTGCACACCCCGGGGCCGAACCCTTTTTCTGACCCCGCTTCGCGAGCAAACGCCCGCTCCATGACGTCACAGCCCTGCCCATCCCCTCAGCTTGATGTCACCTGGAGCTCCTTCTCCCGCTGCATTTTGAGCTCCTGTAGTGTCCTCATCAGCTGGTCCACGGCTGAGGGCCCGCGGCACCACACGGAACTTTATAAGCTAGAAGACTTGCTGCGGGGAAACTCCTAGGACTTTTTTTTTTTTCTTTGCAAACTCTGGGATGTTACGAAGCGTCATAATCACCATCCCCAAGTCTAATCTGCCATCCCACTGCACTGACAGTCGCTGCCCTTGCACAGCTCCCCATTCGGCCTTCCTAACCCCAACCCTAGGCCGGGGTCTGATCCCCACATTCTTCATCTTGAGGCAGGGCGCATGTCTCATTCTTCATTTTCCATCCTATCGTCCCAGGTTTTCCAAATTAGTTCTATCCCTTACTCATCTTACTGGCGACTTCTCCCTTTGATAGGTGGAGAAGTGCAGTTTGAACCCTAAGGAAATTTTGAAGTGCCCAGAGCTCTTGCCGTTTTGTCAGACTTCATTCTTGTGACAACCACCCCACAGTCCTCCACTCTTAACCGTTCTCCCACCCAAGTCTGTCTTTTTTCCTGTTCAGAATCCAGCAGTGATGTGGAGGTGGAAACCCACAGGAGCCCCGGACTTCACCTGAGCTACCTCAGGTATTGGATAATCCTGGGAGAGTTGGGTGGGGAGGAATATCCTATCTGATTATCAGCTTTTGGTGGACTTGCTTCATAGATCAGGCTTGGATAGATAGTAATTTATTTTTCACGTGGTGATTTCCCTTTCAGTAAAAGTTACATCTTCTCTTTTACCACACCTTTTCTTAATTGTTTCTGTTATTCCGGGGTTACCTCCCTTTGAAGCAAAATGATACCTCTTCTTTTACAGATTATTTGGTAACTTTGGCCTTTGGTCTGGTCATTTCATTTTAGGGCGATCTGAAGATAAAGTAAAGGGGAAACAATATGAAGTTTTTCTATTTGGACAGCAGAGGGAGCCTGAACACTGCGTAGGAAAGGCTTAGGAGGTCAGACACGTGGTAGCAGAGACTCAGAATCTTGGTGGGGGGGGGAGGGGGGCGGTGTTAGAACCAGGGCAGTGGACTGACATTCCTGAACTCTCTTGGGAAAGAGATTTAAAAAGCTTTTATAGAGTCTATAAATAAAGAGGGTCTTTATAGGGTGAGGAATGGTGTGGTTTGATGTCAGTGAGATCTTCCCATAGGGAGTGGGGGCAGGAAGAGGATGCAGAATGGGGAAAGAAAGGTCACTTGTTCCTGTGGAATTAACTCCTTCCTCTCACTTTGACTGTTTCACAGGTGGTTTTTGTCTTGGGGTCTAGAAGTAGCGATTCCAGCTGTAGAACTCCTTGCCTGAAAGGAAGTGGAGGGAGCTATCCTCATGGGTTGAGAGTGTTGGTGGGTGAGGAGAGAATACGTTAGTTTAGGAACTGCCCTCAAGCTGGTCATACCAGTCTTTTCACCCAAGATTTATTGGGGTTTAGAGCTCTGACACTCGCAGGGCCCTCACCTGAGAGTCCATGGAAGGAGGGTTAAGGGATGTTGTTTTGTCACTGGTGTCCCCATCATCCCTAATAGCTCACCAGCCTATTTGGCCCGTGTTTCCTGTCTCCTTACAGCTTATTTAGACACCAACACTAGTTTTAATTTTACTTCCACAACTTTAATTAGGTCAGCCAGAAGGGGAGATAAAATGCAACACAATTCTCTCCCTTCCCCCTCCTCAGGCAGCCTATCATCAGTGAGATGAGATGGCTTCACCCCAACTTCCTCCTCCTTTAGCCAGGCCAGTGTGAATCATGCTGACCCAGACCAGGTGCACAAGGGCCTGAGGAGGGACTTCTGACAGACCAGCCACTGCCAACAAGAATTCTCTTCCCTTAGATCCTCTAGCTCCAAAGCCATTTCCCCTCGGGGCTGCCTCTCACTGGGTGCCCTGCTGTGCTCCATAGTGGGGAAGAATGGTGGCCTTTCTACAGGACTCCTGTCTGACCCAGCTTTCCTTTTTCCTAGCTGTCACCAAGGGTGGCAAGAAAAGGAAGAAAGCCCTGAGTTAGGGACCAGGATGCCTGACCGGGACAGCTATGCCAACGGCACGGGGAGCAGCAGTGGAGGCCCTGGAGGCGGTGGCAGCGAGGAAGCCAGTGGGGTAGGGGCAGGCGGTGTTGGGGCCAACTCAGATGCCATCTGCAGAGACTTCCTGAGGAACGTGTGCAAGCGAGGCAAACGTTGCCGCTATCGCCATCCAGACATGAGCGAGGTGTCCAACTTGGGGGTGAGCAAAAATGAGTTCATCTTCTGCCACGACTTCCAGAACAAGGAATGTAGCCGCCCAAACTGCCGATTCATCCATGGTTCCAAAGAGGATGAGGATGGTTATAAGAAGACAGGAGAGCTTCCCCCTCGGCTGAGGCAGAAAGTGGCAGCTGGCCTGGGCCTTTCACCAGCTGACCTACCGAATGGCAAGGAGGAAGTCCCTATCTGCCGTGACTTCCTCAAGGGGGACTGCCAGAGAGGAGCCAAGTGCAAGTTCCGTCACCTGCAGCGGGATTTCGAGTTCGATGCTCGGGGTGGAGGAGGAACTGGTGGGGGGGGCTCAACAGGCCCAGTCCCCCCAGGACGACGTCATGATCTCTATGATATCTATGACCTCCCTGACAGAGGTTTTGAGGACCATGAGCCAGGCCCCAAGCGTCGGCGAGGTGGCTGCTGTCCTCCAGATGGCCCCCATTTTGAATCATATGACTACAACTTGGCTCCATCCCGAGGGGTGGAGTGCAGGCTACTAGAGGAGGAGAATGCCATGCTCAGGAAGCGGGTAGAGGAGCTAAAGAAGCAGGTCAGCAACTTGCTGGCCACCAATGAGGTGCTGCTGGAACAAAATGCCCAGTTTCGTAATCAGGCCAAGGTCATGACCCTGAGCTCCACTGCACCAGCCACTGAGCAGACGCTGGCCCCCACCGTGGGCACTGTTGCCACTTTTAACCATGGCATTGCTCAGACTCATACTACTCTTAGCAGCCAGGCTCTACAGCCCCGCCCTGTATCCCAGCAGGAACTGGTGGCCCCTGCCGGAGCGCCAGCTGCTCCCCCAACAAATGCTGCACCTCCTGCTGCTCCGCCACCCCCACCTCCACACTTGAACCCAGAGATCACGCCACTGTCAGCCGCTCTGGCTCAAACAATTGCCCAGGGAATGGCACCCCCACCTGTCTCCATGGCTCCTGTGGCTGTATCTGTGGCCCCTGTGGCCCCTGTGGCTGTATCCATGGCGCAGCCCTTGGCAGGAATCACAATGAGCCACACCACCACCCCCATGGTGACTTACCCCATTGCTTCCCAGAGCATGCGCATCACAGCCATGCCGCACTGATGGGGCAACTGGACACTCCCCTGGTATAGCCTCCTAGGGCTGGGGGTGAGGGGCTCTTACTCGCCTACTCACCTAGCCCTCCTAGGTCCTGTCTGAAGGGCTCACTCAAGAACTGGATGAGAGACTACAAGGAATATGCTTCTGAGAAGGGGTTGGGCTGGTGTGCTTCCTCTCACCTCCCTTTCATGAGGGTCCTTTTGTCCATCTTCCTTCAAGCCTCACAGAAGGGGCTTGTGTGGGAGTGCAGACTGAAGCCAGCAGAGAAGGACTTCCTGAGGGGCTGTGTGTCCCCTGTTGGAAGTTGAGGACATCCTTGGTCTTGTCCTCTCTTCACAGCACAGCATAGGTTCCAGCTTGGGTTTCGAAGAAAAAAACCCTACTCAGAGGGAAAGCAGGAAAGGTTGGGAAGTGGGTGGGGCCAGGAGAGAAGGCCTGATAAGAGCCTTCAGACAACATGGGGCCCAGTCGAGTTGGACAATACAGAAATTGCTCCTGGGCCTCTGGGAAGGCGGGGACCATAGTACTCCAGCCCAAAGGCTAGGGGAGCATTCATTATCTTAGCTTGGGCTGGAACTCCATAGGACAGGGCTCACCACTTTCCAAAGAAATAAAAAATAATTATTTTTAACAAATGGAGGCAGCGAAAACTTACTTAGATATTCTGGGTGGGGAGATGGGAGCCATAAGTAGATCTCAACGCTAAAATGGGATAGAGACCCAGCCCTCACGTAGCTTGGGTAAGGCAGGCCAGTGAAGGATAGGGACCCAGAACATGACCAAGTGGGGCTTTGGGGAAGGCGCTTTGTGGGGTAAAAGCATTGGAGACACCTGGTCTAGTCTAAAAATAGCACCATCTGTTTCTGGTCTCTGCATGTGCTGTTCCAGGTTGCCTTGGTAACCAGGGCTCCTAGGGTCATTTGGGGGGTAGGTACTGAAAAGGGTACATGTGATGGGAGTGGGAGGTCATGTAGTTGACAGATCCTTACCTTATTCAAACAGAGCGGGGCAGGTGGTGATTGCCTTTCTTGAGGTGTTGATGGCAGTTAATGTCTCTCCTACCCTATCTTTTCCTCAGTGACCAGTGCCTTAATCCTTGAAGCCTTGGGAGGTGCTGAGAAAAGGAGAGTTCTTCTGGGGACACAAGCCTCGGGGTTAATCCCTTCCTTCTGCCTCCACATAGGACCAGAGAAGGTTGTTAATCCACTTAAGGATCAAAAGGCCAGGGGCCTCAGTAACCAAACCTCAGTTCCTCCTCAGCCTCATGGCTGATATAGGGGAAACAACTCAGGTTTCTAGTCTAATGGAACAGTATATTTTGGGATAGAGAAAGTGATCCTGCATCGTGCTGCCCTGTCATACTTCCTGCTACCTCTTGCTCTCTCGGCTGGTTGATCACTTAGGTTATACCTGGGGTTGGCAGGCTGGGTCAAGGCCAGTCACTTAAAAAAAAAAAAAAAAAATGGGGCTAAAGACTGAAAGTGGGCAAATATCATTTGTGGATTATAGAAACGACACATTGGTGAGCTTTATGTTGATTTTTGGCAACATTCTGGATTAAAAGAGATGGTTTATGAGCATTAGAGAAGAATGTGATCAGAGATAACAACGTGAATTCTTTCCAGTGAAATCCTGACAAACTATTTCCGTTTTGCCAAGTATTGCTAAAGAGGTAGATTCGGGAAACTAGACATTGTATGTCCCATGTTAATTTGCTCCAGATAAAGACCACCAGGATACACCTGTAGTTTAACAGGTTGGGTTTAGTGCTCATTGCAGTGAGTGAGAGTGCACACTGTGGGGCACAGTGGTGTCTCAGCAAGAGGGTGTTAAAAAGGACTCAGAGGATTTGGACTTGGGTGAAGTAATCTTGAGAAGGTCAAGGCAAGAGGGGCTTCATTCTGGATTTGGTACTATCAAGGAAGCAGGGATAATTCTATGATTGGCTATCTTTTATCTAGGAGGGCAGACGAGAGCAAGGCTAAGGCAGTAACTAAAGAAGCAGCTGTCACTCATGAGCTGGCAGAGGGGATGTGTGGTATTTTGTGGTTTGCACACTGACCTGTTGCTGTCTGTGCTTAAACAAAACTGAAGCGGTCTTGTTTTTGTCTCACTTCATCACAGTCACTGAGTGACCTTGTCTGATGTTGGTGTTGAGATTGTTTGTGCCCCACAGAACACCACGGCCTAGCCGTGAGAGTTGGATCATCCCCTAACAACCTCAGGGCCTAGCTATGTGAGGCACCAGATGTCAATAATTCTTTCCTCTTTCTCACCTGCTAAGTCATTGCAGCTAAGAAAAAAATATGAGTCAGTTAATAGTAGAGCTTGGTGGAAATAGAACAGTTTTACCCACCAAGTGTCGATCAGTGCATTCATATTAGAGAAGTATCTAGTGATAATGCCCAAGGGTTATGTCTTATTAAAACAAAAAATAAAAACTTGAATAAACATGCAAAAACACATTATCAACAGTAACACGAGGAAGTACTAGATCATATCCAAAGTGTCTATCAGTTGGATTGACTATAAAACGCTGTAACCCCATGCCCAGCCCAGCCCTGCTGAAAAAAATTGCTTAGGGATAAACAAAACCTTGAGCGTGTCTGAGGAACAGTGCAGAGGTCTGCATTAGCAATAGTTCTCGTGAGAACAACCTGGGACTTCCAATTGTCTGCAAAAATTAAAATCTTAGCCCTCATTACTTATTAATGCTAAGAGCCTACTATGTTCTAGGCACTCCTTTCGGGGCTCCATAAGGGTAGTAGAATTGTAGTCATTAGTTGTAAATATAGCAGTTCCACCATGTTCTGTGTGAGTGCAAACAGTCCTGAGGTATTGTGTTCCCTTCTGAATGGAAGGTTTTAAGAGGGTCGTTGACAACTGCCAAGAGAAGACTGAAGGGAGACCAAATAGACGTCTTCAGATATTTGAAGGGCTGCCCTATGGAGGAAAGGACGAAAAGGTTCTGTGTCCCTACTCAGGAAACAAACAAGGAGTTCCAAAGGCTAACTTTTATTGGTTGCTTAATATAAGCCAAGGCATTGTGCTAGGCTTTACATGTAATATATCTCATAGACACAACAGGTATTATACCCATTTTGCAGATGAGAAAGCAGCCTTAGAGTAACCTGCCCAGCGTTCCACATCTAGTGAGGGATGGGCCCAAGATTCTGTTCAGGCAGTAGGGACTCCAGACTTGGTATAAGAAAGTTCTAATAATAAGTTATCCAACAATGGGACTACTATTTTGCAGTAACTTACAAGGAATAACAGGAAATTTCCTCAAATTTTGTTGCCTTTTCTGGGCTGGGAATAGAATACCACATCTGACCCCTCTGTCTCCCTTAAGAGGCAATTATAGATTACATATAAATGCAGATTGTATGTCCAGGAAGTTGCAGTATTGTCTCTCCTCACTTAGGCTCCTCCATTTAAGACACTTCCTCTGACAAATGGCTATCCCTTCCTGTCACCCATTTACAACTCATCACCACCAGGTGGCACCTGGGCACAGGATTGCCAATGGGCGGGACCCACCCTGTTTACTTGTTCTGGTGCCTCCTGCATTGCAGCTGCTGATCTTGTGGCTCCTGGGCCCCAGCTGGGACTAGGCCTTTTTAGGGGTGAGCTCTCATCCCACATGTACTATCTTCAGTTAGAGGGTCTGATGATCTGGGCAGGGTGAGGAAGGAGAGAAGTTTGGAAAGGAATCTCCACAACCCCCCACCCCCATCTTCCCTACCCTAAAATATCAGTTTATAGAGGTTTCCCTCTAAGGAATTTCTTCTGTTTTTTCTAGTACAGTTCTGCTTCATCAGTTGGCAAGCAGATCATTCATATCTCCTTTCAGCTGCTTCGGGCCCCTTTTCTACCTGCTCACCTCTGGGGATATGGAAGATATGGATAGGCAGATAGAAAATTGTTCCTTATGCGGTTCTGCAAACGGAATGTAGCAGCCTAGATACCGCCAGCCTCAAGGACGAAGAGAAAGGGAAGTGAGAGAACTAAAAGAGACAGATTGGGCAGGGACAGCTTTTAAGCAGTTTTGATGAAACACAGCCTGATTAAATCTATGCCTGCAGAGTCAGATAAAATTCATCAGCTGCAGGTCGTCTCTCCCCAACAGTCAACCCTACTTCCTCTGCTGCATCAGACAGAATAACACAATAAACCACACATAACACTGCATTAAAAGGTCATCTCTATCTTATGCCCAACCCATATCTCTTCTGCTTCCAATTAGTCTAGTTTTTAGGTCCCCAGAGAACACCCCACCTCTAAGGCCAGTTAACTAGCAATAATAGTCACCCTGCATTTCTCTTGTCCTGAATCTGCACGGTACAATGTAGAACTGCATTAGTTCTGCAAACCTTCCAACTGAAGCAAATGAGAAGCTGAATCTATTTACGACTTCTCATCTTAGTCTCCTAGCAGTTCCTCCAAACCAAAAAGCCCAAACCCGTTGCCATCGAGTCGATTCCGACTGAGGGTCACAAGATTCTTGGAAAATGTAATTATTTCAGCTGCAGTTGAACCCTTATTTTTGGAGACGATTTTTTTTTTACAGATTTCGTTTTAATCTGCCCTCCTTAGTAGAGATAGAGATGGCTAACTAACTCTTGGAGATTTCCAAAAAGAAAGAAAGCTTCAACTTCCTACTCACCCCTCTGCTGCTCTCCCCTCACCAAAAAAAAAAAAAGGCTGGATCATCCCAACTTTGTAGTTCTGATTATCCAGTTTTTTCTAGCGTCTGTCATTGCGCTACACAAAGGGGGCTGGGGACCGGATAGACGAGGTTGGTCATCGACGCTTTCATTCCAAATAGGGTAATTCTCTTTCCTTCTGTAAGGACAGCCAGGAAAAAAATGAAGGATAAAGTATGAAAACTAGGGAAAGCTGACAAATGAGCATATAGGAATCCCAGAAGCAAATCCTCCCGAACCATCCAGATGGGGTAGAAGGAAATCTTGACCCTCCCCAACTCCCCAACTTTGCATCTCCAGCTCCCACTAAAACCGAGGAATTGGCAGCGCTGCTCTGCGTAACGTCACACTACAGGCACTCCAATCCCACGTTGGGGGAGCTCCTGGAATCGCCTCTCCTCTTTAAATGGTAAACCACTCCTCCTCCACTTTCTCACCAATCGAATGTGGTTCTTTAGGCCCTTTCCTCCTTTTCCCGCCATCCAGACCTCCCATTTTGGCACTCTAGTCCAATCAAGGAGGCCCAGTTCCTCTGAAGTCCTTTCCCCTCCCCAGGCAGGAGGGGCGGAGTTTCGACCTTTTGACTCCACCTTGGTCTAGGGGGTGTGGACCAACCCGAAGCGCCAGAGAGGAGGGGCGAGGCTTGAGGTCCCTTCCCCCATTCTGGGGATTACGGTTTGCAGGGGGGAGCTGGCCGCAGGACTAGGCAACCTCCTGCAGATCTCTGGGTCGGGCGAGTCCTCCCTGAGGCGGCCCAATGGAGCGCTCTCCTGTAGAGGGCTCCAGCCCCGGCCCCATGGACCAGCCGTCTGCTCCTTCCGACCCCACTGACCAGCTTCCCACTGCTCACACAAAGTCAGATCCGGGTTCTGGGGGCCAACCTGCCGGACCAGGCGCAGCGGGCGAGGCCCTTGCGGTGCTGACTTCCTTCGGGCGGCGGTTGCTGGTGCTGGTGCCAGTCTACCTGGCCGGAGCAATGGGACTCAGCCTGGGTTTCGTGCTCTTCGGCCTCGCCCTCTACATAGGCTGGCGCCGGGTCCGCGACGAGAAAGAACGGAGTCTCCGGGCCGCGCGGCAGCTGCTGGACGACGAGGAGCGGATCACGGTGAAAACGCTCTATATGAGCCATCGCGAGCTACCTGCCTGGGTGAGCCACCGCCCCCAGCCCTCACGGCAGCATAGTCCACTTCCAGCCCCTCGATTTTGGGGTTCTCCCTCCCTGTCCCCAAAGTTAGCCCCACCTGGGGAGAGTGGGCCCCGCTTGCTGCCGGCTTTCTCAACCCCCACCCCGCCTTCCCAGATCCTCAGCCTTCCACAGAATCAGGGCTTCTTCCTTACTCGGCTCTTGGGCAAGAGCAGTAATAACATCTAGGGACCCCGTCTCAACCGAGTCGCTCCCTTCTAGCCAAGCCGTCCTGACGCCCGCCTTGCTTTTGGCGCCTCTCGCGCCCCTGGTGCTCCTGGGCATCCTGGTCCCCGCTGCTGCTCGAAGGGTTCCCTCGCCTCTCCTATCCTCAAGACTTTTTACCTACTTAAGGCTGTAAGGTTCTTCTCCCTTTCCCACTCTCTCCGATCCCAGCTGGGACCCAGCTCCAGGAGCACTGCCCTGCGGAGCCCCGCACCTGACCGACTCTCAGGCGCTCGCTGCCTTGCAGCCTCAGGCCGGGCTGCAGCACCGCAGAGGCGGCTGCGGGACAAAGGGCGGGGTTGCAGAGGAAGGCAGTGCGCTGCTGCAGTGCACGCTGCCCACACTCCACCCTCGCTGGCCCCACCCTTCCCCGGACAGTGGCTGGGGCAACGACCCTTATTTCTCGCCTTCTCTCCTGCGGCGAAGGGCCGGATGCCTTCTCCCGGCCTTGCAGATGCAAAGCCCGTTACCTGGCCCCGCCCTGCCCCTCCCTTCGGGCCCCTCCCAGCAGAGGTGCCAGTCTAAGGGGAGGACGGCGGAAGAGAGGAATCAAAGTTGGCAAGGCAGGCACAGCCGTGCTTCCCAGGCCCTGGACTGGGGAGGAGAAAGGGGCAGAAACGGTACCAGGGGACTTGTGGGCCAGGCAGCAACTGTCTTTGTTCTTCCTCCTCATCAGGGAAACTAATCTTCTTCCAAAAAAACCACCCCTTCTTCCTCCCCCTCCCCAAGAGGAAGCACAGGTGTCCTCCTTTCCCATTAAAGGAGTCACACGGATAAAAAGAAAGGAAGGGGAGAAAAACACACACACATGCACACCACCAGGGCCTGAATAGTTCTTCTGGTTCCTCCCTGACTCAAGAGCTGCTTCCCTCTTTGCCTTCTAGGTATAGAAACTCCAGCCCGGGGGAGGAGGGAAGGCTGCAGAATCCCAGGATTCCCTCCTCGAATCTGATTTGACAGGACCTCCCCCTCCAGAAAAAATGTGCCCTTCTCCTCTGCCTCCCCTCTTCCACAACCCTGAACTATTCACAAAGCAGCTTTGTGTGGCTTGCACCCTGTTAACTCCCCTTATTAAAGAGGCCTCAGGGTCCCCAAACACTGTGGAGGAATGAAATGAAACCTGGGGACATCTCAGCACCTCCCCCAAAGTCCCTGGGTGTTTCCTCCCCTCTGGGCATCTGACCAGCATCTCAGTGGGAAACCAGAGGCAGAGGTGTGCTCTTCACTGTCTCTGCCTCCCTGCCCCCAGGTCAACTTCCCAGATGTGGAAAAGGCTGAGTGGCTAAACAAGGTGAGAGAGTTGATTGTCCTGATTTTTGTTTTTCATGAGGGGGAACAGGGGTGGGTTCCTCCTGCCAGACCCTGCCACACTCCCATTCTAGCCCCAGCCTGGTGCCCACTGTTTTCTGTGGGAAGGATTCTGAATGGACTTACCTTCAGAGGGAAGGCTCTGCTCTCCTATGACAGTCTCCCTTTCTTCTCAGATTGTGGCCCAGGTCTGGCCCTTTTTGGGCCAGTATATAGAGAAGCTTCTGGCTGAAACTGTGGCCCCAGCTGTTCGGGGCTCTAACCCCCATTTGCAAACATTTACATTTACAAGAGTGGAACTGGGTGAGAAGGTATGTGTGCAGGAGAAGGGAAAGTAGTGAGAGGGAGGAGATGGGACTGGAGGGTGGGTGGCTCAGAGGGGCTGAGATGCTCCTCCCTTTCCCCTCCCTCCTCTCAAGACTTCATCTTTCTCCAGCCACTGCGCATCTTGGGAGTCAAGGTTCACCCAGGTCAGAGCAAAGAACAGATCCTACTGGACTTGAATATCAGGTAATGCCACTCCCCACTCTTCCCACTTCCCCTCCAACAGGGTGCTGGTCACTCCTGGCTCCTTCATTCTCCCTGCTCCACACTGCAGCTTGGTGCTAACCCTCCTTATTCTCTTCCTTACTAATCTCCAGCTATGTAGGTGATATACAGATTGATGTGGAAGTGAAGAAATATTTCTGCAAAGCCGGAGTCAAGGGCATGCAGGTGGGGAAGGTGTCAGGGGCCCCTCATTGTAGGGTGCCTTTATCCTAAGTTTCATGGGATATGGGGAAGTGGGAGGTTTGAGAAACCAAGGCTTGGAAAGTCTGGAAGGGGCAGAGGGCCTTTTCTGGGGTCAGGCTTTGATCTCTTCTTGTTCCAGTTACACGGTGTCTTGCGGGTGATCCTTGAGCCACTAATTGGGGACCTGCCTATCGTGGGAGCTGTGTCATTGTTCTTTATCCAACGCCCGGTAAGGGAAGACATTGAGGGCAATGAGGAGGCAGGGGAAGCAGAGGGTGTTGGGAGGATGAGGGTGGCCAGCTATGGAAAAGAAATTGACAAGAAATATGAGAGGTCTGGCAGCTGTTGGATAGGTATGACCATGTCAGCATATGATCCGTCCTGACCCCACTGCTCTTTCCTTCCAGACCCTAGATATCAACTGGACAGGGATGACCAACCTGCTGGATATCCCCGGACTCAGGTATCAAGGACTTATTGAGCACCTGCTAAGTACTCCATCCCTAGGTTGGCGGTTTAAGCGATGCAAAGCAGTAAAGGATGCAGCTGTGTCCTCCAGGAGCCTCTGCCCTAGTTAAGGAGATAAGACAACAATCTCTGGAAAGTTCCATACTATGATTTTTCTTTGGGAGGGGGGTGGCATGCATTTTGGTAGAGAATGAAGAAGGCTGAGGACTGCTCAGCAGGGGCAAAAAAGATTTGGGGATGGCAATGAAGAAGGGACAGGAGGTGGGAAATGAGGGTAGAAGAGTAGCAAAAGAGGAGTTACAAGAAGGGCCTTCTCTCTAGCATTAGGCCTCTGCTGGCTGTGGGAAGCAGAGTTGGAATTTGGAGGACACTGTCCATTGAGGCCACTCAGCTCCTTCCTTTTTTACTCCCCTATTCAGTTCACTCTCTGACACCATGATCATGGACTCCATCGCTGCATTCCTCGTGTTGCCCAACCGATTATTGGTGCCCCTTGTGCCTGACCTCAAAGATGTGGCTCAGTTGCGTTCCCCTCTGCCCAGGGTATGGCCTACTCCCCATTAGGTCCCTCTCTCAGGAACCCAGTGCTGGGTCCTTAGGTTCTCACCGTCTTATCCCTACCCCAGGGCATTGTTCGTATCCACCTGCTGGCTGCTCGAGGGCTTGGCTCCAAGGACAAATATGTGAAGGGCCTGATTGAGGGCAAATCAGACCCCTATGCACTTGTACGCGTGGGCACCCAGACGTTCTGCAGCCGCGTCATCAATGAGGAACTCAACCCCCAGTGGGGAGAGACTTATGAGGTGGGAGAGCTGAGGAGGGAAGTTGTGTGAGATGAGGAGACCTTGGAGGTTGTAAGAGAAGATGCAAGATTGGATGATTCTCACAGTGGCAGCCCATGAGATCCTTATCCCTCTGTGTTCTCCAGGTGATGGTACATGAGGTCCCAGGGCAGGAGATAGAGGTGGAGGTGTTTGACAAGGATCCAGACAAAGATGACTTTCTGGGCAGGTGAGACTCTGCCTGCGTGAGGATTGTAAAGTCCAGATGCTACCAAGATCTCGGAGAGAATTATAGTCCTTTCCTGGGCCTTGGAATCATGTATCATTTTCTTTCCAAACTAGCCTCTGCCTTCACTTCCCCTCCCTCCCCGCACACATGCAAATATCTCCTGAGTGTAGGGAGAAGGGAGTTTGGGATCTGCCATTTATTTCTGGGTGGGTGAGTGGAAGGCTAATGACATGCTCCTAATTACAACTCTCTCCCTTTCTCCCTCTCACTGCCTGCTCCCCCACCAGAATGAACCTGGATGTAGGGAAGGTATTGCAGACTAGAGTACTGGATGATGTAAGTGTGGAGAAGAGGAAGGTGGGGAGTGTTCTCACCCATTGGGCAGACAATAGTTGCTACTTTGGCGGGGAAGTGGTTCGGTAGGTACTTGATCTCTATTATACCTTACTTTCTTCTGCCTCTGCCTCTAGTGGTTCCTTTTACAAGGGGGGCAAGGCCAAGTTCACTTGAGGCTAGAATGGCTGTCGCTTTTGCCAGATGCAGAAAAACTGGAGCAGGTAACCAACATGAGACACAGGAAGCTGGCGGTGGGGGAAAGAGGTGGATGGAAGTGTAGGAGACTGGGGGGACCAAGGTCTAGCTGCTACCACCACTTCCCTAGGTTCTACAGTGGAATCGGGGAGTCTCCTCTCGACCAGGGCCCCCAACGGCTGCCATCTTAGTTGCCTATCTGGATCGGGCCCAGGATCTGCCTGTGAGTTTGAGTTCTGAGGGTGGGTGAATGGGGAGCCCTGGGCATAGCCACAGCATTCCCACACCATCCCTTGCTAGTACTCCTGCCTGCTTTGCTGTATAAGCAGCAACTTGTAGCACAAGAGTCCTAAGGAGGGGAGCTGAGCCACTGCAGGGAAAAGATTCTGATAAGACCCCACCTCCTGACACCAAAACAAAAACACCCAAGATGATGACCTCTGAATTCTATCCCCCGCAGCTGAAGAAGGGGAATAAGGAACCCAACCCCGTGGTACAACTGTCACTTCAGGATGTGACCCAGGAGAGCAAGGTGAAGGCCAGGGTATCACTGTGGGAGGTGTTATGTGTGTGTAGGGGTGTGAGGGGGAGGACTTTTCTTGAAGTTTCCCTTTTAGAAAGCCTGTAAGTGCAAGAGTTTTCTAGAGAAATGGGAATGGCACTGTGGTGTATGCCCTTAATCCCGTTCTCCACCTCTCCAGCCTGTCTATAACACCAACTGCCCAGTGTGGGAAGAGGCTTTCCGGTTCTTCCTGCAAGACCCTCGAAGCCAGGAGCTCTATGTGCAGGTGAGAGAATCATCTATCCAGTCCCCTTCCCCCCACTGAAGACCCTATTCTGTCTTCCCAGATCTGCATGATTTCTTCTCTCCATCTTATCCTCTGATTCCTATTTTCAATCCATCTACCTAGACTTCCCACCTCCCCCCAATATCTTCCCGCTGTTCTCCACCTGTATCGCTAGAGTAATTTTTTAATTGAGAATTGTACACTTCAAAGAACTGAATTTTATGGTGTGTAAGTTGTGCCTCAATAAAATTGTTGAAACAAACAAACAAAAGAACATATTGAGTACCTGTTAGACTGTGTGGATCATAACAAATTATGGATAACATTGCAAAGAATGGGCATTCCAGAACACTTAATTGTGCTCATGCAGAACCTGTACATAGGCCAAGAGGCAATCTTTCGAACAGAACAACGGAATACTGTGTGGTTTAAAATCAGGAAAGTGTGCGTCAGGGTTGTATCCTTTCACCATACTTATTCAATCTATATGCTGAGCAAACATTTCGAGAAGCTGGACTATATGAAGAAGAGCATGGCATCAGGATTGGTAGAAGACTCATTAACAACCTGGGATATGCAGATGACACAACCTCGCTTGCCATAAGTGGAGAGGAGTTGAGGCACTTACTGATGAAGATCAAAGACCACAGCCTTCAGTACTGATTACACCTCAACATAAAGAAAACAAAAATCCTCACAGCTGGACCAATAAGCAATATCATGATAATTGGAGAAAAGATCGAAGTTGTCAAGAATTTCATTTTACTGATACTCATGAAGAGTGTGCTTCTTAGCTCAAGTAGATACATGAGACTAAATGGGCAGCTCCTGTCTGGAGGTGAGATGAGAAGGCAGAGAGGGTCAGGAGCTGGTTGAATGGACACGGGATATCAGGGGTAGAAAGGAGGAACGTGCTGGCACGGTATAGGGAGAGCAATTAGGGTCACATAACAATGTATGCATAAATTTTTGTATGAGAGGCTAACTTGAATTGTAAACTTTCGCTTAAAGTACAATAAAATAAAACTAAAAGAAAAAAAAAAAGAATTCCATTTTACTTAGATCCACAATCAATACCCGTGGAAGCATCAGTGAAGAAATCAAATGCCATATTGCCCTGAGCAAATCTGCTGCAAAAGAGTCCTTTGAAGCGCTGAAAAGCAAAGATGTCACTTTGAGGACTAAGGTGCAGCTGACCCAAGCTATGATATTTTCAGTCACCTCATATGCATGTGAAAGCTGGACAATGAATAAGGAAGACCGAAGAAGAATTGATGCCTTTGAATTATGGTGCTAGGGAAGAATATTGAATATACCACAGACTCTCAGAAGAATGAACAAGTCTGTCTTGAAGAAGTACAGCCAGAGTGCTCCTTGGAAGTGAGGATGGTGAGACTTCGTCTCATGTACTTTGGACATGTTATCAGGAGGGACCAGTCCCTGGAGAAGGACATCATGCTTGATAAGGTAGAGGGTCAGCGAAAAAGAGGAAAACCCTGGACAAGATGGATTGACACAGTGGCTGCAACAATGAGTTCAAACATAGCAACAATTATGAGGATGGCACGGGACCGGCAGTGTTTTGTTCTATCGTACGTAGGGTCACTGTGAGTTGGAACTGACTTGACGGCACCTAGCAACAATGACATTAGACACTCAGCATTATAAAAGTCATGGAAAAAGCATGAAACGCAGTATCTGCCTTCAGGGAGCTCACTGGCCAGCTTCATAGAAAAAATACACATATATAAAACCATCTGAGAGTAATTATTAACTGTTGTTGTTAGATGCCGTCGAGTTGATTCCAACTCACGGTGACCTCATGTGTGCAGAGTAGAACTGCTCCATAGGGTTTTCAAGGCTGTGACGTTTTGGAAGCAGATCGCCAGGCCTGTCTTCTGAGACGCCTCTGGGTGGGTTGAAACCGCCAACCTTTCAATTAGTAGGCAGTGCTTAACTGTGTGTGCTACTCAGGGACTCCTCACTATTAACTGTTGTTGTTACTAGGTGCTGTAGTCAGTTCCAACTCGTAGCTACCCCATGTGACAGAGCAGAACTGCCCCATAGGGTTTTCTTGACTATAATTGTTACAGAAGCAGATTGCCAGATATTTTTCCTGTGGAGCTGGTAGGTGGGTTTGAACCACCAACCTTTCGGTTAGCAGCTGAGCACTTAACTGTTGGGCCACAAGGGCTCATTCCAATATTAACTAGTGGAAGTAAAATACCCATAGTGTAGTGCTACGGAGAAAGGCACAGATGGAGTAGAGATTTTTGTGTGGACCATTCTCAGCTGTGGGTAAGAGAGCTCTGACCAGAGAGATTTTGTGAAGGAAGGAGGATTTTAATTAGGCATTGAAGGATAGGGAGGAGTTAAATAGGCAGAGGGGAGAAGAGGTAGTGGGAACAGAGTGAGCAAAGGTGGAAGGGGACATGGCGTGGGCAGAGGACCATGAAAAGATGGTCCCGAGTAGAGTGAAGGAGTTGTGATTGGCTCAGAGAGGGATGGCGGGAGCCATGTTGTAATTTCCTCATTCGGCCTCCTTTTCCTAGTCTCTCCTCTACATCTCTTCCTCTGGTACCTATAGGTGAAGGATGACTCCCAGGCCTTGACTTTAGGGGCACTGACCCTGCCTCTGGCTCGCCTGCTGACTGCCCCTGAACTCACCCTGGACCAGTGGTTCCAGCTCAGCAACTCTGGCCCAAACTCCAGGCTCTACATGAAACTGGTTATGCGGGTATGGAGATGGATGAAATGCTGAGGGGTATTGAGAGTAAGGAAGAGTAACCCTCTAAGATTAAACGAGTTAGTATATGTAGAAGCCCCTACCAGGCAAAATGTTTGTTGATCTGACTAGGGGAGGGAATGGGGTGTGCGTCGGGGGTGGGTGTGGAGGGAACCCTGTAGAGGTGAGCCCAGCCAAGACAGGGACCTGGTTTCCCTACCAGATCCTTGCTCTGCCCCTAAGCCCCCACACACTTTGCCTGCTGGTAGCTAGCTGCACTTCTTGATTCAGTAATCACACCACCTTCCCAGATCCTGTGCTTGGATTCATCAGAAGTATGCTTCCCTACTGTGCCTGGGACTCCTGGTGCCTGGAACCTGGACAATGAGAGCCCCCAGATGGGTAGCAGTGTGGATGCCCTACCTCGACCCTGTCACACGACTCCCGACAGTCATTTTGGGACTGAGGTGAGTCTATATCTGGAAAGGACCAGGGTCTGTTTGCCCACCCTAACTGTGCAAAGTCTGTCTCAGGACTGGGTCTGACAGGTCTCTCTCCCTTTGACTGCCATCTGTGCTCCCATCTGTCCCTTTTGCAGAATGTACTTCGGATCCATGTATTAGAGGCCCAGGACCTGATTCCCAAAGACCGCTTCTTGGGGGGACTGGTGAAGGGCAAGTCAGATCCCTATGTCAAACTAAAGCTGGCAGGACGAAGCTTCCGGAGCCGTGTTGTTCGGGAAGATCTCAATCCCCGCTGGAATGAGGTTTTCGAGGTTAGAAATGAGTGGCAAGGACTCCTCCTCATCCTGCCCCATTCTTTCCCACAGCTCTGAGAATGGTCAAAAACCTCTACAGTCCAGTTAATTAGGGGTCCAGTCCTTTGAGGGAAGAAAAGAAGGAATTCCCTTTTGTTCACGCTATTTTCTCCCATTAGGTGATTGTCACATCAATTCCAGGCCAAGAGCTAGAAGTCGAGGTCTTTGACAAGGATTTGGACAAGGATGATTTTCTGGGCAGGTGAGCAGGTGGGAGTTCAGATGGGTGGACAGGTGGGGCCTCTAGGCCATGGAGTCTGGCCCAGGGGCAACAGAGTCTTGGCTCAGACCATCTACCTCCATCTTAATCTTTCTCCTTTACAGGTGTAAGGTGAGCCTCACCGCAGTGCTGAACAGCGGCTTCCTTGACGAGGTAAGCGTGGGATTGGAATTGACACCGCCTCCTGATCTCGTCCCACGTCTCATTCTCCTAGTCTCTCTGTCCCCACAGCCCCCAAGTCCTAACCATGTCTACTTCCGCAGTGGCTGACCCTGGAGGATGTCCCATCTGGCCGCCTGCACTTGCGCCTGGAGCGTCTCACCCCACGTCCCACTGCTGCAGAGTTGGAGGAGGTAAGGAAGGAGACTGGAGGAGGGTGGTCAGGGTGAGCTCTCCTATCGGTTTTCAAGGCATAGGCCTAGCTGCGGGCCCCAGCTCTCAGCTACCCCTCCCCAGCCCCCCTACCCGTGCCCTCCCCCAGGTGCTGCAGGTGAACAATCTCATCCAGACTCATAAAAGTGCAGAACTGGCGGCAGCCCTGTTGTCTGTCTACCTGGAGCGTGCTGAGGACCTGCCGGTGAGATCAACTCCCCATAACCCATTGCTCCCTGGCCCTCATCTCCCTCGGGGTGGGATGCTCCTGTTGAATTTGGAATAGTAAACGGCCCAACTCTTTCCCAGGTGATGCTAGGGTGGGAAGAACTGTCTGTCCTAGCCACAAGGGTGGTGGCTGTCAAGTGATAATGGGAACATGTCGGCTGGCTGTGGAAGTAATTTGTGAGAGCAGAGTTCTGCCTAACGAGCACCAAATTTAAGAGTAATACAATCTTCTCTTTCTAGCTCCGGAAAGGTACCAAGCCTCCCAGCCCTTATGCTACTCTCACTGTGGGAGACACTTCCCATAAAACCAAGGTATTAGGAAATGCTGCAGGGGTAAGAATGGGAGGGAGAAGAGGAGTAGAGGGGAGAGTATCAACCACTGATCATAACCCTTCCTCTCCACCAGACTGTTTCCCAGACTTCAGCCCCTGTCTGGGATGAGAGTGCAACCTTTCTCATCAAGAAACCAAACACTGAGAGCCTGGAGTTGCAGGTACTGTAAATTAATTCTGCAAGAATTTAGCAGATTACTACCCTAGACCAGGCGCTAAACTAGGCCCTGGATGTTCAGAGATAAAAGATTTGTTCTTTTTTTTTTCATTTCATGGCTTTTAATTCAGACACATCTCTGGTCAAATTCCAGACCTGCTGCTGTGTGGCCAGACACTGATTATTTAATACCTTTAAGCCTTGATTTCCTCCTCTGCAAAATGGGGGCAAATCATTTGTACTTCCCTCATACAAGCGAAGTGTCAATCATTAGTACTTCCCTCATATGGTGCAGTGGTTAAGCTCTTTTGGCTGTTAGCTGAAACGTCAGTGATTTGAACCTACGAGTCACTCCTTGAGAGAAAGATGTGGCAGTCTGCTTCCATAAAGACTTAGAGCCTCGGAAACCCTCTGTCTCATAAGGTCGCCATGAGCCGGAATCGACTCGATGGCAATGGGTTTGGTTTTGAAAATTTCGATTTTCATGCAAGTGAAGTGCTTAAAACATTGCCTGGCACATGATAAGCACTCAATATATGTTAGTCATCATTAGATCACTATGGAACTTTTGAAAATATGTATAGGAAAGTATAAAGTGAATTACAATAATCACCAAATGATGACCCCTGCCGAGCTTTAGGGAATTGCTTTCCAGTCTTTTTTCAAGGTGTAAGTTTTTAGGGTTTTTTTGTTTTTGAACATTTTATTGTTGTTTAGGTGAAAGTTTACAGAGCAAATTAGTTTCCCAGTCAGCAATTCATACACAGCTTGTTTTGTGACATTGGTTGCAGACCTCTGAGTGTGTTAGCACTGTCCCCACTTCCTCCCTGGTTCCCTGTATCCATTTGCCCAGCTTTCCTGTCCCTACTGTCCTTCTGAACTTTACTTTTGGGCAAATGCTGTCCTTTAGTCTCGTATAGTTGATTGTTCTGAGTGTCACTGGTGTTTTACAGTCCTGTCTATTGTATGGCTATAATGTGATCTCTGGGAGTGGTTTCAGTTCCAAGTCTGAAGGGGGTCTAAGGGCCATAGTCTCAGGGATTCCATCAGTCTCTATCAGACCAGTTAAGTCTGGTCATATTTATGAGTTTGAATTTTGTTCTACATTTCTCTCCCACTCTGTCTGTGACCTACTATTGTAGTCCCGGTCAGAGCAGTCAATAGTGGTAGCTGGGCACCATCTAATTCTTCTGGTCTCAGGCTGGTGGAGGCTGTGGTTCATGTGTCCATTAGTCCTTTGGAGTAATTGTTTCCTTGAGTCTTTGGTTTTCTTCACTCTTTTTTGCTTTGGACAGGAAGAGACCAATTATTGTATCTTAGATGGCTGCTTGCAAGCTTTTTTTTTTTTTTTTTTTATTTTAGGTGAGGGTTTACAAAGCAAATTAGTTTGTCATTAAACAATTAATACACATTTTGTTTTCTGACATTGTTTACCACCCCCAAGACATGTCAACACTCTCCCCTTCTCGACCTTGGGTTCCCCATTACCAGCTTTCCTGTCCACTCCTGCCTTCTCGTCCTTGCCCCTGGGCTGGTGTTCCCCTTTAGTCTCTTTTTGCATTTTGGGCCTGTCTAATCTTTGGCTGAAGGGTGAACCTCAGGAGCAACTTCAGTACTGAGTTAAAAGGGGGTTGCTTGCAAGCTTTGAAGACTCCAGGCACTACTCACAAGGTAGGATGTAGAACATTGTCTATATGAATTATGATATTCCAGTTGACCTAGATGTCCCCCAAGACTATGGTCCCTAGCCTTCAAGTCCAGTATCTCAGTCCTGGGAGGTATATGGTTATGGCTAAGAAGTTTTCATGACTGTGTCTCCTCTGCACACTATTATATACATGGGTATATTTGCAGCATGTACACAAATATAAGTACATGAGTGTACTTCCATATGCCCTCCCACCCCATTCAGCTTACGTATCTACCTATGTATCCACTTGTACATGATTGTTTGTTATTACTGTTGTTGCAGGATTGTACATGTATTAGAATTTAGTCTGGGCCAGGGCTTTTTTTGGTTGGGAGTTTTTTAAAGAATCTCTTCAATTTCTTCTTTTGTTATGGGTCTGTTTAAATTTTTTACTTCAGTTTGCATTAGCTTAGGTTTATACAGGTAGTGTGTTTCTAGAAATTTGTCCGTTTCTTCTAGGTTTTCAAATTTGTTGGAGTACAGTTTTTCTTAGTATTCTGTTATGATCCTTTTTATCTCTGTTGGTTCTGTTGTAATGTTGCCCATCTCATTTGTTATTTCGGTTATTTGCACCTTCTCATTCTTTTCCTTTGTCAGTTTGGCCAGTGGTTTGTCTATTTTATTGATCCTTCCAGAGAACCAACTTCTAGTCTTGTTGATTCTTTCCATTGTTTTTCTGTTTTCTATTTCATTTATTTTTGCTCTAATCTTTGTTATTTCCCTTTTTCTGGTGACTGTGGGCTTCTTTGCTGCTCTTTTTCTATTTGTTCAAGTTGTAGGGTTAAGCTATAGATTTTGGCCCTTCTCTTTTTTTTTAATTGTACTTCAGGTGAAGGCTTACAGAACAGTTTCTCATGAAACAGTAGTACACTTATTGTTTTATGACATTGGTTAACAACCCCACAACATGTC